ACAATAATTTATACGGGAAATTATCACAACAACATAACAAAAATCAATTCATATCACAATTTGTCCAATGGCCACAATCAAATTTCAAAGGTACAACCAAGTCAATTAATTTAACAGCAAATAGCCAAATGCTCCACACAATGTGTACAACACCCAAAAATAATCAATAGAGATAGAAATTACTCAACATAAAGCAAAGTCTTCATAAAAGATCAAATTTTCAATAATTACACAAACACCTCTTCTTAAGCTCATTTAATTAATTATTTGCAAAGGGAAAAATCTAAAATGAAATTAAATTCCAATAATTATCAAGCCAGCAAATTCACGAAATTTCATAAATAATCAAATAACAATCACATCACATTGTCATATAACAATAGAGTCAACAACAAGGGTTTAGGCACGACAAATAGATGATTAAATATATGTCAATAATTATCCAATTTACTACACAATATGCTCAAGACTTTAACTCAATAAAATTTGTACATATAAACCAAGTACGTACTCGTCACCTTGCGTACATGATTTTCAATTACCCAAGTTGCACATAAGACTCAATGCCTAAGGAGAATTTCTCCCACTCGAGGTTAAGCAAGACACTTACCTTTTTGAAGTTAGGCCGATATTCCAAAATAGCCTTCTTGCTTGAATTGACCTCCGGAGAGCTCAAATCTATCCAAATTAATTGTATAACTTCATTAAAAATTATCGAAAATAATTCCGGATAATAATACGTCGACTTAAAATTTTATTCCAAAAAGTCAATAAAAGTCAACGAGGGACTCGCCTCTCGGAACCCGACATAATTTTCATGAAATCCGAACACCCATTCCGATACGAGTTCAACCATACCAATTTTATCGAATTCCAATAACAAATCTACCTCCAAATCTTAAATTTAAACCAAGAGAATTTTCTAAATTTTTCAACCCAATTCACTAATTTAGTGTAAAAACAACAATAGATTCATGTAATTTAACCAAAATCAAGTTAGGAATTCTTACCTCAATGTTTTCCTTGAAAAACTCTCGAAAAATCGCCCCACTCGTGCTTCCTTGGTCCAAAAATGGAAGAATGACATGAATTTGGACTTTATTCTGCTGCCCAGGGATTTGTTCTTCGCGTTCGCGAGACTCCCCTCGCGTTCGCGATGAACAAATTTTTCAAAAGTCATTTTCAAACTCTTCTCAGACAACCTTTAGTATAATGGTCATAACTCTTTGTACAAAACTCCAAATGATGAATGGTTTAACTTTCTGAAAACTAGATTCCAAGGGCTATAATTTTTATTTGTTGCTTATCTCCCAATTCCTTATGTATTATGAGATATAAGCTTCCAAAGTCAGCCCTGTGCAACGGAGATTTTCAAACTCTTCCCGGACAACCTATAATATATCCACCATAACTTTTTGTACACAACTCCAAATGATAAATAGTTTATCTTTCGAAAAACAAGACACAAAGGGCTACAACTTTTATTTTTGGATCATCTCCGAATTCCTTATAGATTGCGAGATATGAGCCTCTAAAATCTGACGATGAACAACAAAATTTCCTTCTTCGCGAACGCGAAGAACAAAGTCCTAACAGCAAAATTCTTCTTCGAAACGCGAGAGGTGCCTCGCGAACGCGAAGAACAACACCAGAACCAGCAACCAACAGCATCAAAACACTCAAACTTGGTCCGGAACCACCCCGAATCAAACCCGAGGCCCCCGGGACCCCATCCAATCGTACCAACCAGTCCCAATACATAACACGAACCTGCTCGAGGCCTCAAATTACATCAAACAACATCAAAGCCACGAATTATACCCTAATTCAAGCCTAATGAACTTTAAAATTTTTAATTCTATATCTTATGCCGAAACACATCAAATCAATCTGGAATGACTTCAAATTTTGCACACAAGTCATAATTGACATAACGAAGCTATTCCAATTTCCAGAATCGGATTTTGGGCCCGATATCAAAAAGTCAACCCCCGGTCAAACTTTTCAAAAAATTATTTTTTGCCATTTCAAGTCAAATTCCTCTACGGACTTCCAAATAATTTTTCGGACACGCTCCTAAGTCCATAATCACCATACGGAGCTATTGACATCATCAAAATTCTATTCCGGAGTCGTCTTCACACAGTTCCGACTACGGTAAAAATCCTCAGACTTAAGCTTCCATCTTAAGGACTAATTGTCCCAAATCTCTCCGAATCATCCGTAAAATCAAACTCGACCACACACGCAGGTCATAATACATATTGCGAGGCTGCTCAAGACCTTAAGTCACTGAATGGGGCATAAATTCTTAAAACGACAAGTCGGGTCGTTACAAACTAACTAGCATGGTGGAGGCATGAAGATGGATATAACATATATGAAAGGGGACACACGATCTTTATAATTTAACAAGTAGAGACATGAATGACTAACATGGAAGAAGACCTATACTTAAGTGCAACAAAACAAGTATTACATGGATGCAATTGTAACAGCGGGAAATAGGTATGATATTTGCAAGTTAAGCAAGTAGAAGGCATGGGCAACACAACAACAATTGAGATAGAGGATAAAGACAGAACAGTGGCGACAAGTCACATAAGAAGCATAAGTACGACAATAACAGCTCAAGGTAAAGACATGAAGATATCTGCAAGAAAAGGATATAATGACATAATGCATGTCCCTCGTCCTCACTCACATGGAAACACCCTTCGTGCCATAAATTCGCAATAACACAAAAGCATAATAATGTAAATGCAATGACACGGCATCACCCTTCGTGTTTTTACTCACAAATGATATGACACGGTATCACCCTTCGTGTTTGTACTCTCAGATAATATGGCACGGCATCACTCTTCGTACTTTTACTCTCAAATAATATGGCATGGCATCACCCTTCGTACTTTTACTCTCAGATAATATGACACGGCATCACCCTTCGTGCTTTACACTCTCCCTCACATGATAATGTATAAACAATGGCACGACATCACTCTTGGTACTTTACACTCTTCCTTACCAGGAATATTTATATCAATGACAAACAAGACAGGAAGCATAAATAACGTTAAGGAGAGTGTTTAAACGAATATTCCAAATGAATCCCAATCACAACTGTCCACGCCAATAATAATTCAATAAATCCGCAATAACTTTATTATTCAAGTATTCCAACCAATCTCACAAATGATCCACTACAGAAGTATAGAATCTAGTATCTCAAGAATATCGGCCGTAGCAATGTATTAATGATTACGCATAGTGCTGACCGAATTAGACACATCAATGTATTCTCAGAATTCCATCAAATTTGATCAAGTTATAATAAGCTAAGTCTTAGTTTCAAACATTTAATACTATGTTCTTAGTATCTAGGAGTCAAGTGAGGCATGAAGCAAGAAGGTCACGTAATTCTACAAGATACAATTATAATATAATCTACCCCCGAGCATGATTAACTCCGGCACATACATATACGCTCGTCACCTCATATATGTATCACCCCCGCATGTAGCAAACAAGGCCAAATAGTAGGAAAAATTCCCTCAACAAAATTAGGCAAGACACTTACCTCAATTCGGCTAAACTCAATACTCAATTTAGCTTTTTCCTTTATAAATTCACCTACGTTCGGCTCAATCTAGCCAAAGACGACTTAAATACATCACACAATGCAAGAGAAAACAATTTCAATTAATAAAGTTGTAATTTTTTATTCAATTTCTAATAAGTCAACAAAAGTCAAACTCCGGGCCCACCCGATCAAAATCCGGGTCTAAGGGTAGGTCTTGACTATCCATAGCTTCATGAGTCCAAATACGTGTTTTGTTTTCAAATCCGAGTCCTATTCGACTCTCAAATCCCAATTTTTCATTTTTTTAAAACTTTGACAAAATCCCCAAATTTTTCCCTAGATTTCTCATGAATTTGATGTTAAATCTTATATAAAATTATGAAATGTAGTTGCGAATTAATTAGAGGTACTTACCCAATGATTTGGTATGAAAATCCCTTCATAAAATCGCCTCCCATCGAAGCTAGGGTTCAAAATCGAACTGGAGGTTTTCCTGTTAATGTCGCATTTGCGACCAAACGCTTCGCGAATGCGAAAGGGGGACCATCGCAAATGCGAGGAATTTTTCGCAAAAGTGAATTCTTGCCTAGCAGCCCGGGTTCGCAAATGCGAGGCTGCTTCGCAAATGCGATAGTCGCATTTGCGACCAAAACATCGCAAATGCAATGACACCAGCACCAGCACTCAAAATCATGAAAAATCATTCTGAAACCAATCCGAAACTCACCCGAGCCCCCGAGGCTCCAAACCAACCATGCACCCAGGTCCAAAAATACAACACGAACTCGCTCGCGCGATCAAATCATCAAAATAACCTCTAAAAGCACGGATCGGATGCCAAAACGCATGAAGATCAAAGGAAACTTCAAGAACTTCTAGAATCGCAACCAAACGTCCGAACCATATCAAATCAACTCCAAATGGCGCCAAATTTTACAGACAAGTTCCATGTGACGAAACGAACCTACTCGAAGCTTCAAATCACGTATAGCAACCTCGAAACGATGAATCGCACCTCAAGTCAAAATCAATGAACCTTGAAACTTCAACTTCTACGATCGATATCGAAACGTATCAAATCACGCCCAATGGACCTCAAATTTTGCACACAAGTCACATTTTCCATTACGGACCTACTTCAACTTCCCGAATCGGAATCCGGCCCCAATATCAAAAAGTCCACTCCCGGTCAAATTTCCCAAAAATCCAACTTTCGCCAATCCAAGTCTAATTCGACTACGGACCTCCAAATTACAATGCGGACGCACTCCTAAGTCCAAAATCGTCCAACGGAGCTAACATAACTAACTACATTTGTTTTTTGTGTAACTCATTGATATGCCTGCCGTGAGACTAGTAAACCAAAAACAAGCCAACCGCAGGATTTCCAAATAACAAACAGCCACAAAAACAATCCACAGTCGGTCAATTCGCGACTCCTCCGATATTACACGTGAACGATGCGTTTCAAGCGACATACAAAAAAATCACACAGCTGCTCTGCTCCTGCTCCACTGCCCACCATTCACCTCCGCTCCTTCTCCAGTCCTAAACCCCAATTGAATGAAACAGAGAACTTGGCCGTCCAAATCGGACGGTCAACCTCGTTTCACCGCTTTCCCTTTCGCCAACAAACAGACTCGTCCCCCGAAAACCCCCTCCATTTTTCATTTCCAAGTCAGTCTAAGTTCATCATCATCGTCCAAGTCTAATCAGTACCATCACGATTTTTCTCAACTTCCATACGATGTTCTCTTGAAAATTGCGGCCAATTTTACGCTGCCGAATTTACGAGCAGCTTCACTAGTGTGCAAGTCTTGGCGTGATGCACTTCGACCCTTAAGAGAAGCTATGCTTTTTCTGAGATGGGGCAAGCGATTTAAGCATGGCCGTGGAGGGGTTAAATCCAATTTAGCTAAAGCGCTTGATTCTTTCCTTAAAGGCGCCGCGCGTGGATCCACGCTAGCTATGGTCGATGCTGGCTTGGTTTATTGGGAGATGGGGAGAAGAGAAGAAGGGATGTCTTTGTATAGAAAGGCTGCTGAACTTGGTGACCCTGCTGCTCAATGCAATTTGGGGATTTCCCTCTTACAAGGTATTGAGATTGTTGCATTATCTAATTCGCGTCTTATGTCTTCAGTTACTTCTATAGAATGGGTGAAAATTGTTTGTATGTCATTGGAGTTGCTAGTAGATAAGTGCGGAGGCTGATCCAGGATTTGAACTTTATCATTCTATCCCTGCCCATTTGATTAGTGCGTTTGGAATCTATTATTTATACTTATTTAGTGGATCTTCTTAACACATACAGAGTCGAGGACAAGGTTACTGGGTTCGGATGAACCCATAACATGTATGCTCGGTCTGCCCTTGGTTAAGTGGAAGAAGTAGCTTGCAATGTTGATAGTATCATATTTTCTGGATTCTTCATCTATGATCCCTGAGTTATTTACATTCAATTTAAGTCTAGGGCCTAGGAATTCTACTGCATTGAGGACAATGTAGGCTTTGTTGTTCAGAAGGTGAAAGTGTGTTAACAATCCTGTATATTATGCGTAATAGATATTTGTATCAAACTAAGTTCAATAAATGAAAATTAGCAACTTTAATCGTGTGAGCTAATTACTAACAATGTGTTTGATACAGGAATTGAAAGGCTTAGTGACTCAAGCTCCTTGCTTATGTTAAAATGCATTCGCATCTGTCAAAATATTAATTTTCATTGACGTTATTATTCTTTTTGTTCTTCTTGTTAGACTTTATTGTAAATAAAATTTTATCTAGACCTTGTTGCCTTTCCCTCAATTGTTGAGATGGTTCCTACCAAAACTGATAAATGTTTATATCCTCATGTGAAAGCATTGCCATTGGGACTTCCAGAATTCAAATGTTTACATGGCTCCAAAAAAAAAAAAAGGAGGTATACATAGTCAACATGGCTCCAGTGAAATCACTAATCTCAATTGTTAACATGCTCCTGCAATCATTGTACATGTGAGCGTATTAAAGAGCACCCCGCAGTATATTTGCCTTTGATTTGCACTTTGTAGAGTTTTAGGTTATGCATTCTGACTGAAAATGGTTAAAGATTCATTTTCCATTGACAACATTTACTTTAGTTTTCATTAGTGCTCAACTAGTTTACTGTTTCATTGTGTTTCTGATCTCTTCTTAGTTCTTACTCTACGTAGCTAATCCTCCGGATCCTGAGGAAGCTGTTAAATGGCTGTATAAAGCCTCTGTTGCTGGCCATGTTCGAGCTCAATACCAACTAGCACTTTCTTTACATAAAGGTCATGGCCTGAATAGTAATCTCCAGGAACCGGTATGAGATTTTACCTGTTTTAAGTTATTTACTTAATATTGAAAAAAAGCTTTCACAGGATTAGTGGAATCTAGTTCTGGAATGTTCCATGTCAATTGTGAATTATATCTCCTTGTTGTTTTATAAATTACAACGTACAATAGGGGATTTTGCAACCTCTATCTGAAAAACTATTTTACATTAACATTCGCTTGAACACCTATGAAAAAAAATCATGATTAACATCTATTTAAACAAATTCCTCTTGTATACCTACCTAGTTTCTCAAAATTGGCATTGAGGATTTCAATTAAAATAAAAGTAGTAGAAGCTGATAAGTTCGGTAGTGTTCTGTTTATCTTAAGAAGTGTCTTAGGACAGAACAGGAAGTATGGTCCATAAAATATTCAATTACATACATAGAAAGAAGTGGGAAAAAGGTTCTTGATTCGGTTTTCTGTTGAACTGGACAGGCCCATTGATGAAGAATATTGAGGGACAATGCTCATGGTAGGACTGGAAGAGATACTTATGCCAAAAATATATACTACTAGGCATTTGAATGGTGCTTTAGTTTTATCGTAGGTATGCAGAGAACATATGTCTACTGCTCCATTTACAGTTGAATTAATATATTTCAAAATTTTAGTCCAGATGCTCTAGTTTCTGAAGTTGATGGCTTGTTGTTTGTAACAGAATTCATTACTTTAAAATTGTGAAGTGGCAAGTATATTTGAATTAAGATTTAGTATAAGATAATTATAGAGTTAGAATAATAAATTATTGGAGAAGTGATTGCTGATCCTACCCGATTTAAGGAATTCACGAAACTCTTATCGTCAAATGAAAGAGGATGGTTTGTATTTGGATAGGGATGTTAAATTCAAAAGTTCAAGTGCACCATTATGGCGTATAAGTTTTCAACTCTGTATAAATTGCAGATAATAGGTTTTGAGAACTTTACGGTGCATAAAATCCTGTTCTTTTTTCAACTTCCTGTATAAATTACAGATGTAGTTCTAATGTGGCCTTCAGTTAAAGGATTCTATCATTGCATAGGCGAAGTGGTATTTGAGGGCAGCAGAAGGTGGATATGTCCGTGCTATGTATAACACTGCATTATGCTACTCGGTCGGAGAAGGTTTAATGCAGTCTCACAAACTAGCAAGGAAATGGATGAAGAGAGCCGCTGATCGAGGTCATAGCAAAGCCCAGCTTGAGCATGGGCTGAGTCTGTTTTCTGTAAGTAGTGCCTAAATGTTCCTCCCCCCTTCTCTCTTTCAACAATTTCTTCATATCTAAGTTTAAAGAAGCATATAATTCCATGCATCTGTGTGGTGCCAAGTGTTTCATACAGAAAAAGCCCCCCCACATCTCATTTCCTTTTTAAAGAATTAACCTAAATAACTGCTCACTCAACCGCTTAAACTAAAAATAGTCGGTGGAGGTAAAATATTTCTATAGTCCATGTATAATCTGTATTACTGTGTATAATCGGTGCATAATCTATGTAAATCCACTAGGAAAAATAAACAACCTACTATTTGTGTAAAGATCCATTCTTTTTTTCTCCCCACTAGCCTGTGAACTTTTAATAACTTGTGTTGCACATTCAACAGGAAGGGGAAATGATGAAAGCTGTGGTGTACTTGGAACTTGCCAGCCGTGCTGGTCAGGCGGCAGCTGACCCCGTGAAGAACGTCATACTTCAACAGATGTCCAATTCTTCTCGTGATCGAGTTATGCTTCTTGCCAATAATTGGCGTGTTTTACCTTCATCCCACTGATACACTGCTATTGTCAGCTTCCTGCAGCCTAATCAATGTCTCACTAAACTTCTTGGAGTTTAAGTGTAATACTATAAGATTTTTTTTTCCCGCAATTGCATGTTCCTGAGTTCTGTGAGACTGCAATAATTGATAAGAGGGTTTGAGCCAATGCAACCCTATTAACAATGGCTTAGAGTTAAATAGGCGTTCACGTCGCTCGTAGAAATCGTTGTAGTTGTTAACTCAACATGACACTATATGACAGCTACACCATCATGCCCGTCGTGCTTTCGATGTGGCTATGTGGTTGCTATATCATCAAGACTGTCATCCTCTTAAATTTATATCGACACAACATGCCACGTAGGCCTATCGTCGTTTGTATAAATTGATATTCATGTTTCATCCTGTATAATTGTTGTAGAATGTTCTTTTGGACGTGATAATTATGGAAATAGATGGAGCTAGTACGGAAAAACCTTTTGAATAAGGTTAGAAATGATGAATTGAGATAGGGTAGATTGATGCTTCTATGGTCATTTGGCAGGCTATTGAAAGAAAAAGTTTACATCTACCTTTCCTTATTATCTTGCGCGAAGCAACCGGCTTAAAAAAAGCTCCCCTTTATGTTTGGGGATCACTAAAATGCAACTTCGATAGGATACAGGTATCAAATCCCGCCACTGAAATGTCCATTGGATGCCTGGGCTTTGACGAATGGCCGGTCAACTTTTACGTTAGAAGAGCAAAAGCAGGATGAACCAGAACCAGTGTGAATGAATGTCAGCTTCATATGATTGGTGCTATATAATTGGTTTGATTTCTCTCCAAAATCTATGTGGTAGTTTCCCATCATAGGGCTTTCTATATATATACATATATTAAGCGAGTTTTTGGCCAATATTGTCCCTTATCTTTGAGTGTAAGTGTATTTTGGTCTCTTAAATTTAGTCTTGAGCATATTTAGTCCCTAAAGTATGCTAAAGTGGAGCACCTTTAGTCTCACTCACACAATGTGTTCAAAAACTAACAGTGTTACCCAACTCTAATTCATGAAGCAAATCTTGTGCTCTGAAACAAAACGTTTACTCTCCTTTTATTGGATAACGCAAATTATCACTTTAATTCCTCATTTTTAGATAATGTCTTTCTAAAATTTTGACCTTGAAAATATCTCCTTCTGTGCCAGTTTTCAATGAGAAAATGACACTGTATAGCCGCTGTAAAAATAATAGCCAAAAAATGTATAAAATTTGTATATTAGATTGCATAAAACAACCTAAAAATTTATATATTTTTAGCCTATTATTTTTATAGCGGCTATACAGTGTCATTTTCTCATTGAAAACTGGCACATAAGGGGATATTTTCAAGGTCAAAATTTTAGAAGACATTATCTAAAAATGAGTAATTAAAGTGATAATTTGCGTTATCCAATAAAAGGAGAGGAAACATTTTCCTTCAGAGCAGAAGATTTGCTTTATGAATCAAAGTTGAATAACACCGTTAGTTTTTGAACATATTGTGTGAGACTAAAGGTGCTCACTTTAACATACTTAAGAGACTAAATATGCTCAGTGTTATATTTGAGGGACCAAAATAAACCTATCATCAAAGATAAGGGACAATATTAGTCAAAAACTGTATATTAAGCCATTATCAAGGAAGTTAATTCACTCCGAAACTCAATTGACTGCTTCTATAGAGAAGGCAGAGCGTACTTGGTATCAAAGTATAGACGTTGACATTTGTGTACGATTATATAACGCATTTGCAACATTGTTTAAGACCTTTCTCGTTTTTGTTATATATGGTGTAAGGAGCAAGAGACATCAGTTCAGCCTGAAGGTATGGGCTAAGAGAGATACCATTTGAGTTTTAAGTAAAATGACTCACGCTAAGATTTTTGAGAAGTCATGTTTCGTTAACAAACGATAACATTTTCCTCACGTACTAATATTAGTAGGATGACATCACTTGTAAGATTCCTTAAATATTTAAAGCATCGTGCAAAAGTCAACGGATTATTTTTTGCCAGAGGAAGATTTTAAAATAAAAGATGTCGTGAACATGATTAGATGATGAATAGAAAACGGAGCAAAACTTGTAGTTATCTCAGATTCCCTCCAGCAAGCGTTGTTCAGGGCATCGATGGAGGAAGCTAATGTGTTACTTCTGACATCAAGTAATTCTGATGCAGATGACATCCAATTACCTAACCGTGGAGTTAAAGATTTGATTCGTGATTTTTCGAGCGAGTCCAAGAAGCTGTGGTACCTTGCTGCTCCAGCAGTTTTTACTTTGGTTTGCCAGTATTCAATTAATGCCATTACTCAAATCTTTGCTGGCCATATCGGAACCATCCAACTCGCTGCCATCTCCGTTCAAAACTCTGTTATTGCCGGTTTTGCCTTTGGAATCATGGTATAATCATTTATCCCCCATCTATCTAGCTAACTGTTTATATATAGTATGTCTTGTGATGGAGTGATATATATTTTGATGATGACATTAACATTTTTGTGACAATGTACAGTTCGGGATGGGAAGTGCATTAGAGACGCTTTGTGGGCAAGCATATGGAGCAAAACAGCTCGAAATGCTGGGGATTTACATGCAGAGATCGTGGATTATTGTAGGTACCACAGCCCTGGTGTTAATGTTTCCTTACATGTTCGCCACGTCTCTCCTAAAACTCATCGGTCAAGATCCTGAGATATCAAAATGGGCGGGGACATTCGCAGTGTGGATGATTCCGCAGCTTTTCGCCAATGCAATCAACTTCCCCATCAGGAAGTTTTTGCAAGCTCAGAGCAAGGTCATGGTGATGGCCGCTATAGCAGGGGTTACAGTAGTTGGGCATACTTTGTTTAGCTGGCTGTTGATGCTCAAGATGGGATGGGGACTGCCGGGTGCTGCGTTGGCGCTTAATGCATCCTCGTGGTTCATGGTGCTGGCCAATCTCGCGTATATATTTAGTGGGACATGTGGTCAAGCTTGGTCTGGTTTTTCTTGCAAGGCTTTTCAAAATCTATGGGGATTTGTCCGATTGTCTTTTGCATCTGCAGTCATGATCTGGTAAGTTTCTTCGATCGCTGAAGCCTTTTTAAATCATTCATCTTTGTGATCTTTCCAGTGCATGCTCTAGTCAAGGCATCCATGATCCCAATCTTGCAACCATTTTAATGCACCAATTAATTCCCAATAGTAAGTTGGAGGATATTGGGGCAAAAACACCCCCAAGTCTTGAATGAAGAAAGAGGGACTTTGACTATATCAAAGATGATTAAGTGATTTTGTATCTGATTAAAATTAATAAAAATGTGGGTAAAAGATGCAATCTCTACTTTCAAACTTTTTTCCTCCTCTTCCTTTTTTTTGGTCCTAATAGGTGTGAACTGTGAGAGAGAGAGAAAAAGAAGGGTGAGGTGTTCAACACAAATACAGGGTTTTTAATTCAAACACCAGGAAGTTGTTTAGACAACCTAAGAATTGTTTAAATAACATGAGATCAGGTTGTTTAATAGTCCAAACAACCACGAAGTTATTTTAGACAACCTGAGATTGTTACGACCATCTCATGTTGTTTAGTTCAAGCAACAAAGGCACACCAAATAATGCGCTGGTTAACTACATATATATCGTGCTCTAATTGATTGAGGCTGGTACTACGGAGAGGGATAAAGAATAGGGCCATGATCCATCTGTAACCAATTGCATATGTTTCATTGTTCTCAAAATTCTCTTAATTTTACACACAGCGAAATTAAAAGAGAACTATCTAGAATCTCAGCAGATTTTGGATTGTGCTGAAAGCCTGCAGCTCGCAAAAACAGCTATAACATTTTTTAAGTTCTCTGGATTCTTGGACTCAAAGACGAATAATTTTGTCCAGTCATTCACACTTTGAGGATGAAGATAAATAGTCGGCCGTTCTTCATAGCTAGCTATTTGGAGCTAGCATTTGATTTAGTTTACTTCAGCCTTATGGTGTAAATAAGTCTCATTAGAAACATAGAAAGTACACTTCAACTCCTTTATCAAAGAAATTACACTTCAACTCACTTATAGCTGTGGAAACCAAATTTTCAAGGGAAAATGTATCACAATTCCCTTTCCCAGAAAAATCAGTCCAATATTAGTATGTATGTATAATTTTTTTCCAAGATTTGTATAAGGTCATGAGTTATCACGATTACATTCAAAGTTAAATAATCTTATGCCTACACATTCTCCTTCATCAGCACTTCAGTTGTCCTATTTTTGTATTGCTTCGTTATGATTAGGCTTCAAATCAAGTGGCTTAGATGTTAACTAATTTTCAAGATTTGTGCAGCTTAGAGATGTGGTATTACATGGCGCTGATTCTCTTTGCCGGGTACCTCAAGAATGCGGAAATAGCTGTCGATGCAATTTCTATATGGTGAGAGATCACATCAAAATGAATTTATTAAATGGCAATTTGAAGCTTAAACGTTATTTAAAAATGGCATCTCCTTTTGGACTGCAATGATCCGTGTTTAATCTCCAATTGATTATTCACCAAAGTAATGATTAATAAAACCTCTTGTTCTGAAAGGCATTTTCTAGAACATAAGAATCAATATTTTAAGTGTTTCTGATTAGCAACTCTAAAAAGGGAAGCAGAACATATTATTGCTAATTTGGTAACTTGTACAATTCCAACAAACACAAAAGTACATTCAGATAGGAAAACAAAATGTCCAGCACATTTGGAAGGGTTCTCTCTCTTTCTGATTCACTCTGTTATATTCTATTGCAGCTCAAACATTTGTGCGTGGACGTTTATGGTGTCTCTTGGATTGAATGTGGCAGTAAGGTATGATCCCATTTAGATTTTAAATATTTGTTATCTCACACAACTCTTAAATCAATAAGTAGAATATGAAAGAAAGGACGTTCATGTGGCAGCATAAGGGTGTCAAATGAACTAGGGGCAGGACATCCAAGAACCGCGAAAATATCAATGATAGTAGCCTCGTTCACTTCTCTGCTGTTCGGTATACTCCTGGCACTGGTTCTGCTTGTTTGTCGAAGCAAGTTTCCCCTGTTATTTACAAACAGTAAGGAAGTCCAGAAGGTTGTACATGAGCTTACACCTTTGTTAGCAGTCACTGTGTTCATAAACAGTCTTCAACCTACTCTTTCTGGTACGTATATTCGCT